CCGAATATACGCAAAATAACATCTCGCTCCTCAGCTTTTTCTACGGAAAGTTTGCTAGAATAGAGATCTCGATCTGGAATGAAACTCTTCCATCTATCATGACATACTATTATCATATAAATCGATATTCATAAGACGAATCTTCGCTTTTACTCGGTTGTCAGCCTGCGAAAGAGTGCTATGATATCTGGTGTAAGTAGGCAAATCACCTGATTGGAAGTTAAAATCTAAATGAAAAGTCAAATCCCCATAGAAAAAGCGCTTCTTCATTGCCTCACAAGTACGGAATTGTGAAAAGCCTCGAAACTTTATATATTCCTTATATGTATTAACTTATATCCGTCTTTATCGTAGTTGAAATAGCGGGGTCGGGGGAATTTTAAAAAAAGAAAACTGCTAGATTTCCTGTATTTGATAAAATAACAGTTAAAACAAGAATGAACAATCATCTTTGAAACAATATCCCGTATTATAATAGAAAATGAAAATACTAAACCGATATTTTGCTGTTTACCATAGAATCTTAAAAATAACACTTTTGTAGTTTTGTTTTCACACTTGATTTCATACAATCCAATGCAAACGACTATTTTACACAAATCCCATTTCACATTCAAAACACGTACACTTCCTTACATCTCTTGTAAAATCCGCAGATCTGAATAATTTTTCTGATGATAAACAAAGCACAAAATACTTCCCTCCTTTTCCGAGCAGGATGATCTACTATACTGATATTCAAAAGCCATTGAACCCTCAATAAGCACTTTCAAAAACAACAGTCGATGCGCCAAAAGAAAACTCCTCCGATCTTCTATCATAAAACAAGGTTCGCACACTATGCTTTTTCTCATATTTTATTCCAAAAGAATAAATTGACAATACAAATAAACCAATAGTCAGAATAAACACGTTTAATATTTATAATAAAAATGTTTGTTTATTTATTTGTTCAGAATGTACGTTGCTTCTTGTTTGTTAATTCAATAATTTGACGCTGGAGATCATTGCTCAGACTTGTTGCTGTTTCTGCGTCACGTTTTCTTTCATCGGCTTCATGTTTTTGTTCTTTTAACGATTGAATTTGTTCTATAAAAGAGAACGAAAGTCGCATATGTTATTCGTTATTTTTTTGATTGATTTTATTTACTTTCAATATCAATTTGATTCAATGTGACTTCGTTTTCTTCAAGATAAATTTTTCCAATTCTGTACTTCAAGGTATCGGCCATTGTTTGATCAACAAATTTTTCTCTATATCGTTTGTTCCCCCTTAAACACAAAGTGCATAATGCTGAAATTAAAATATATCAATTGAGAAAATGTTGCTCTTACCATTGCTCACTATGTCAGACTTCCAAAAATGTACAAATGTTGAAAAATTTCAAAAATAAAATATCTACATTTTTCGGGAAATTCCGGCACGAAAACTGCGCATTTTATGTTTTTCATTCAAATAAAGAGCTAAACTGGTAAACAAGTCAAATAGACCGATAGATCTCGTAAAGATCTGTCGAATGGACTATAAGTTATTGGATTTTGATCAAGTTTTGAGAGAAAAAAATGCGAAACGTGTGACGGAATTTCATTTTTGAGTACAACATCGATAAAAAATGCATATTTGACCAGAAAATTTTTTTATCACGAATCAGGCTGACAGCAACATTATTAAATGCAGATTTCTAAACTGATTCCAAATAAAACACTGAAAAAACTTTGAAAGAAATTTCAATTTTTCAGTTTCTTAGTTTAAACTGATTTTGGTATTTATAAATTTAAACTAAATTTAGAAGGAAAACTTTTCCATTGAAAAACATCTGAGACTGATTAAAATATTTTTGAACTTGTACCTGATGATTTTCTCGCTTAGAAACTCTCAAATTTCAATTTTGATGATATCTAACAATATAACGCTGCAAATTCATCGAAATTTCAAATTTGTTATTAGCCGTTAGGTACTATATTTTCTTAACAAAAACTTCTTAAAATGACGAAAGAGTCGCACGCGGATGGTAGAGAACCAAAAAAGGTTAACTGGGTTCGTCTGACCGTCGAATTTATGACAAGCATAACCTTCTACATTGGAAGCATGAAATTCCGCTCGTTTTATTTGATCTTAGCACTTAAACCAAAACTAAAAACATATTTTGAAAGCCCAAACATCGGCGAACATTTTTCTGTAACGCAGGTGGAACGACAGCACCTTATTTCAGAGAGAACTTTGAAGTTCAAAGAGCACCCAAAAAACCTTCAATTTTGTGAAATTCCGTCACACCCTCTATTTTTGAAATAACTGCTGATCTACTGCGCTCACACTTTCAGAATTTGAAGAATCTACTATTATACACATTTGATAAAAATTTCATCGCAATCCCTTACATGGTTTCGGAGCAGCGTTTTCGATACAAACTTGGGTAAGGTGGGGGAGTTCTATGGAGCAACTCTAAAAATTTAGCTAATAACTAAAAAACAACAAAAAAAGAAGGCTTTCAACTTTCTGGAGTAATTTTCGTTTTCGCAGGAGTCAATTCTTCAAAATGAACGAAATAATTTTTTTCAAACAAGGTTAACTAATCGAAAATGCTGTTTCGGAGATACAAAATAAAGAAGTCGAAAAAGTGAAATTCCGTCACGCTTGGCCAAGCCGTAAGCTTACATTTTGTTGCTGCAAACATCTTTAAGTGTTATACTGTAACTTATCGATACTTCGATTTATGACATATAAATATAGATATTGTAGATAGTTGAAAGGTAAAAGGAAGCCACAACGTGTTTCTCATTTTATGGTGGACCCGAAAAAAAGTAAAGTAAAGGATGGTGTGCATTTTGATGACTTTAATGACATGACCAAAATGACCTGACCTTTTTGATTGGCTGATTATTTTAAGCCAATAGCGCAGTTTGAAAACGAAAAGCAGAATATTCTTGAGATTTTGGTAGAATAATAAGAAAGTTATTTAGCGAGAAGTAATAAAAAGCCGAAGCTTTTTTAAAAGCTCACAAGACTCTGGCAACGAAAGGCGCTAATTGTCGAATGGTTTAAGAAAACGGAATAAATACGTAGCAGATTAATTTTTTTTAATAGTAGTTAAATGTGGTTTTGGAGCCGGATAAAATCGTACTAATCTTTGGCTGAGCCAAAGATAAGTATCTCAAAATTCGAAGTGAACCGATTTGGCTCACTTCGAATTTTGAGATACTTATCATACATGCTTAACCCTTTAAGTACCATCGCTCGATCATAGGGCTTCTAGGGGCTTCTAAATTTGTGTGATCATTGTTCTCACCAAATGCCGATCACCCAGCAAGTTCAGGCTTCTTTTTCTGGATGCTTTGTGAGATGTAAGCATTTCATTTCTTCTCTACGAAATGCTAATAACTCCTGATCGAAGAGAGAGAAAAATTTTTGCTTTTTACTAGGATGTAGCCCTGACTCTCCTTTATCTGCGATATGAATTTGAAGTGTTAGCTTTTAATAGTTACTAAAATACAGCTATTTTACAGTCGAAGGTCACTTTTGTAGTTTAAGGTCCTCTTATCTTCCAAAAAAGGGTTGATAATTTAGCCTATGAATATTATTTTCACTTAAAAATTGCGCCAGATACTTAAAATGTCTTTAGATTATTAATACAAAGTATGAGGGTTAACTATTGTATGGTTCGAGAAACTCATAGAAAATGAGCACCCACTATTCAGACACACATAGGGAGGCAAGGGTGAGGAACTAAGGGTCGTCCATTTCTCCTACCATGTCTTCTGTGGTTAATGTCCGTCATACTGTAAAAATATAATAACCCTCCCCTCCCCCCCATAATAGAAGACCACCCGGTCTTCTATTTTGTCTCTCAAGTCAAGTTCTAAAAGGTGGTCTTCTATCGCGGTCAAATTTTGTCGCTGGCTAGTAGTCCAACGGTAACCTCACGTACTTGAAGTCCGTCCCCTATTAGAAGTACTTTTTGACGAAATTTTTTTGAAAATTCCCCTATAGATATAGGGCATTTTCCGATTTTTTTTGCGGACATAATAGAAGACCACTGGTCTTCTATCTGGCTTTCAAGTCGTATAATCGGCAGTGGTCTTCTATTAGGGGGGGTTTAATGCAAGTGTAGGGGGAAAATATCCATAGGTAAAATATTGCCAAGAAGACTTCACACTCATCCTAACCAAAAGTCATGTTTTTATATTTTATTTATTTTCTCTTTTTCACTTCCCATATACTTGCAAACAAAATTAATAGCATATTTAAGATTAGCAGACAAAGCTGCATCGTCGCACCTCGATATCATTTCGCGTTCGCGAGTTATTCAAAAACTATGAAATTTGAAAAAAAGTGTACCTATTGGGCACGCTGGTACTAAAGGTTAACCCTTTACTCCCAATAGCGGTTCCAGCAGAGCCACTGATAAAATCACCACAGAAATAGAGTATTGGACTCCCCAATATGCCAGTAGTATGGGCAAATCGATCAGGCGCACTACCTTTTGTGCAAGATAGTTTGATAGCTGCAGTGAGTGACCATTAAGATAAAGAAGGGTTGGAACGACTCCAAAAGTCCTACTGTTGTTCTTTTTTAATGATAGTGTTAATTAGACAATGATACTATCTATACGCGAACAATCGAGGAAAAATTATGAAGAATGACCTAATAATATGTCTATTCGTTTACAACTCTCTTTTCAATATCATACGGCCTGACTTAATCTATCCTTTTAGGTCGAGAGAGTGGAGAGGGGGGTGTAAGCGTCAGGTGTCCTTGTACTAACAGCTCACAAAACAATCCCAGTTCAGAATCTCTACAAATCAACAATTTATTACCAACTAATTACTAATACAAATAATTTTAACAGTAATGAAAGTCTGTTCTTCTTCAATTAATGA